CCAACTTCCTTTAAAAAATTTGGCTACGCTTGGTTTTGCTCCCTGTGCCGTAGGTGCCCGAAATCGGTGTCAATCGCCTCCATTTCATGAGAGAAGTCCGAAAAACACAAAATTAGGATGGAGAAATGCAACTAGAGCTTTTTATGCCCTGGGGCAATTCTCGAAATCCATGATACCCCCCTATGGTTCCAAAAAAATCCGAAAATTTTTTTCGCAATTTTGCCTGAAAACGTCTAATTAGGGTTTTTCGACCATGCTGATCACGAATCCGAAGGAATTTTCAAGATTGGATCACACCATTCCGAGATATGGCTGATATTCACGTGCCATCAGGCCCTAAATCGACTCCTAACGCCTTAGGCGAACAACCCAACCCCTTAGGCGCTGTGCACGCACCAATCGGACTTAGTCTTAGGCCCCCCTTTAGGCGAACAGGCCCTTAGGCTGCTGTTTAGGCTTATATCCAATCCTTAGCTGCTGTGCAGGCTTAGGCTTGGATATATGCCCTGAGGCCATATCTCGGAATGGTGTGATCCAATCTTGAAAATTCCTTCGGATTCGTGAGCGGATTTCGAGAATTGCCCCAGGGCATAAAAAGCTCTAGTTGCATTTCTCCATCCTAATTTTGTGTTTTTCGGACTTCTCTCATGAAATGGAGGCGATTGACACCGGTTTCGGGCACCTACGGCACAGGGAGCAAAACCAAGTGACCCCAAAAATTTGAAAAATTGCCGATATTCGCCAAAAATGCGACGAGAGAGTGCGCCGATCCCTAATTAACACCATACAGGGCTCCTAAAAATATGAGAAATACAAGGCCCTGTATTTGTCTCTTTTTTTGCCACCCTGTAGAAAAAAAGGAAATAAAACATTTGCAAGCATTTTCAAGTCCTGTTCGTCACTCTTACGTAATAAATCACAGGCTTAATCCGCATAGAAAACTTAAACTTTGGTTGTAAATAAATCGTCTTTGCACTTTTACATCACACGTTTAGCATATTGCCAATTTCGGAAACGACGTGAATATTCAAAAAAACGGATACTGTAGTTTTTACTCTTAGTAACGAATCTACAAGCAAATCCACACTTGTCTATCCACACTTGTCTAATCCACTGATTATACCAGGCGGGGACATAATTTCGCGGAAAAAGATCTTTATCAGTTTCTTCCTTTCTTCCTTCTTCGAAGTGAGTTAGACAGAAAAAGACACGAAGAGAGTATGCCGCCAATTCAAACCAGCAATTTATTTTTTCGCGAAATTATGTCCCCGCCTGGTAGTAGTGAACAAGGAAGTTGACATTAATTTCGTGAGATTTATCCTGTTTATTGAGACTTATAGCTTCTGAAGACTCCTTTCCGGGAACCGGGGATATTTTTACCATAAAATGCACGGCTTTGCACCTAAAGGATTGTGCAAATATCTGCCCACAGTTTTAATCGGCTGAAACCCGGATTATGCGGCGGTGGACAACATAGTAAACACCTTGGAAATGTCCTATATAAGCCAATAGTTGCGCGAAAGAAAGCAATTCTATAATTACTCGAGAAACGCCTCAGGAAATAGAATTTATTGCATCATATTCAAAGCTCTCAGGAAGATTTTTACCGTCCTCCGCCGAGCTATGAAGCCGTTTTGCCTGCAGAATTCACTTTCCTTCTTCGTCTACCTCATCCAATTGTGCACTTCTGTCTGTACACTTCCGTGGTTACCTGCCCATTCCTCAATATCTCAGCACCTAATGAACTTGCAGTGGAGCAAAAATTCTAACGCTGACATCAATTTGGAGGATAAATTGAGGGAAAATAAGTAAGCAATTTTATGATATAAATGATAAAAATTCGATCAAAGATATGTTAATGAAAGCATGATTTACAGCTTTGGTATAATTCTATTAAAAAATTGCATTCCGAAAAGTTTTTACAATTTAAAAATTTGATAAAGATTAGTCTAGTTTGGTAATTAAAGAAATTATTATGTTATACTTTCAGTAGCTGCATAATCTCTTCAAAGACCACCCAAGCTGGAAAAAACGACCAAATCAATAGCAATGTCCAAAAGAAACGCCTTTTCCGCTGGCATTCAATAACTGACCTTCCGCTTGGGAATCACCACCAGGCTATCGTCTCCAAATCGATAACACCAAATCTTGCAGTAACCAAAATGAACAAAGAGCACCTCCAAAAGGTCACAAAAAGGTCAAGAGGAATAGTTAGATCCGAGGATTTGAATGAGCTTTTGGCTCATTTTCCCGAGATCATGCCAAGGAAGTCAACTCACGAGATGCGAAAAATCTTCGAAAAGAAGAGTCTTCGCTCAAAAGTACACCTCACGCCACTGAAAGTCGAGCAAGGACCTGAGCAAGCAGCAGCCGTTAGCGTAAGGGATTGCATGTTTTTACCTGGTTCATCCTGTACGTCAAATCGACGTATGGATCTAGCGAAACTGTCTGGCTATTTGAATAATGTGATTGCGCTGACCTCTGCGACAAAAAGATCAGAAATTGATGTATAACTGCTCATAATTAAAATAAACATAACTGTTCATAGTTTTCATCTGTTCACAGTTTATATCCACGAAACTATGCCTATAGCATACACATTTCTATTGTGACTTCAAATTGCGGCGTTAAATTTATTCATTATCTAGAATCGTATATTGAGGATATTCGACCAATTTCCGAGGTTCATGTTCAGTGTGCAACGACTCCGACTCCGGAGTCGGAGTCACTCCCAAAAACCAGCCGGAGTCGACTCCGGCCTCGGGAGGGTCGGGAGCAAAAAAAGCATAGGGGGTACCACATGAATTTTTTTCCGGCGCCGCCATTGGCGGCGCCGGAGAAAATTTTGAAGGTTTTTTCCAAATTTTTGAAAATTTTCTTTAATTTTGCTCCAAATTTTCAATAATTCGACCACGAACTTTTGGATACCAATAATTTCTTCTTAAGAGAAAACATCTCATTTTGGAAATATTTTCGTTTTTCCAGGAAACAGATATGAAACACTAACTTTTGGCAATTTTGAGCTGAAAATTTGTGAACTTTTCAATAAATATTCAGAAACTTCAATCTTTAAATTTATTTCAATGATAAATTATAGTCAATTTTTAAAGTGAAAGCTATTTTTTATTAAAAATTTTGCCTGCGGCGCATTTGTGCCGTAAATTTTTCTATATTTCTGGAAAAATACACTAATGTAAGCACAATTTAAAATAATTGCAGATTCATGATCAGCACATCAAAAAACCCTTAAAAACACATTTTACTGAAAATCCGAAAAAATTTGCTTTTTTGTCATTTTCAAACCATAGGGGGGATGGTTTTCGAAAAAATCGATTTTTTGAAAATTTGGAAAATTTTTATGTAAAAATTTAGGTAAAATAGTGTAATATTGATGAAAAAGTGTATAAAAATGGAAAAATAGCATAAAAACACGAAAAATTTAGCAAAAATTGGAAAATTTGGTCGTTTTTCAATTTTCCCGGAGTCGACTCCGGAGTCGGAGTCGACTTTTGAAAAAGTTGTCACACTGTTCATGTTCGGCAATTTTGGGCAGAACACCCAAAACTTTTCATTCGTAATTGAAATTGGTGCCATATTTTTATTGGCTGAACCAGCCTGGTGTAAAATTTTCGCGTAACAATGTCAAAAAATCCCGGTTGTGAAAATGTTCCTTAAAAAATTCTGGAACTACTAAGATTAGTGTTCATCGGAGTTTTTATACTGCCATATAGAAATCCTACGATTCTCAATCAACAGCTTTGATCGCCTTCTTTACAACACAATCGTCGCACAGGACTCTAAGTTAAATTGTTTAGCATAACTAATTTCTTTCAAAGTTATTTCCGTAGTCCACCAAATTTACATATATATTATGCCTGCTATAATTTTGTTCCTTCGGAGCGAGGTTGAATACCTATCACCCGGGCTGTAATTGGAGCGTTTACACATCTTCGAAAAGAAAGTTCTCAAAGATACACCAACTGTATTCTATTTTCATTCGCATTGCCTTAGAAATGTTTTTGATTTGATAATAAAAAATGCGAACAAAAATAATCAGATCCAGGCAAAAAATGTAAATCAGATAATCACATCAAATAAGGTAACTAAGATGACGAAGGTGCTAAGAAGCTCTGCGCTAACCTATAAAATATGTTTGCCACGACTGTTGATCAAACACATGACTTTTAGATCATCAACATAATGCTCTCGTAACTTAGCTGTTGTGGCACTTGTCAATATGCGAACAAAAGTATTCGATTAGTTATAAGAACTAGCTGGCTCCGCCCCGCGGCTATCGCCGCGGTCAGAATGCCCCAGCTGCCCCATTCCGGCCCCATTTCGACCTATGTCGACCCCAAATCTGAGTCGATTTTTTCGGATTTATGGGGGTGTTTACTATAATCGTGATGAGATCTGGGTCGAAAATGGCCTAAAAAGGGCCTAAACGACAGTCCAGACACTGACGCACTGACGCACGGACATCAGCAAATTAGTAAAGTACCATGAGTTTCTGTACTTTGATCTAAAGCGAATTTTTACTGAATTTTTTATTTGATATATTTTACTTTTATGAAACCTCTGAATATTATTCCTACATTTATTCTATTTACATACTATTTTTTGCGGCTGATTTTGTTGACGTTTTTTCAGCAAAAAGTTGATCAAAACAAAACAAATGTTGCAAGCATGTAAAGAATGTGAATAAGAAAGTTAAACAGTGACAAATTTTCACTACCAGAGCTAGCGAGTTGTCTTTTTGAAAATTTAAATTTGAATTTCCTTCTTGAAGATAGAAGTTTTCTTTCATGCTCTTGTTCTTGCTTTTTGCTTGTTACAACACCGAAAAAATTTTTACTTCAAACTGGAAATGCCAAATTTGAATTGTGTCGCGTCATTTAGGATCTTTTGAGGTTCTTCCTCAAGCAAAACAGTATCAAAACTATCAGTCAGCAATTTATTGCCATTGCATATAGTGTTTGTTTTATAAGTAAAGAGTATGTGAGCCCGTGGCGCAACGGTAGCGCGTCGGATTCCAGACCCGAAGGTTGCGCGTTCAAATCGCGTCGGGCTCATTACATTTTTCATTTATTTTATTACTCTGTAAACAAATTTTAAACCTTTTTCTGGATAAACAAAGTAAAAAATTATTAATTTTACTGTATTGTCAAAAAGGTAATGTGAATTTTTGGAAATAAAAGGTTATAATTTTGAGGTTGTATTTTGATTGAAAATGGAGATTATGCATCTTGCTATAAATAGGGAAAAATGGAACTTAATTTAATAAACCGTCTAATAGTGTCGCATATTTGGTAAGCTTATCAAAGGTAGGATCTACTTTTACCTGAAAAAGAGAAGAAAAATTAAAGATGTAATGTTGTGCAGTTAGAAATATTATAGTTAAACGTATTGGAAAAACATTTCATTACAAGAAAGTATTGTTCAATCCAAAGCAGAGTTTCGTCGTGCATAATGAATATTCTATTGATAGGACATCCTGATTTTATAAATTAAATATCGTAAACTCTCTAATTTAATCTCTCTCCCTAATTCTACCCCTCCCTCTAATTTTCCCCCCTCTAGAGCTCGATTGAATAATTAATAATTATTTAATCGGTATAATTATTAATTATACCCCGGGGGTTAAATTAGAGAGTTTGCGGTATGTTCTAATTGTTATGAAACTAGGGGGAGTGGCGCCGCAATAATTGCGGCGCCGAGCAATCAGTATGCAATTGTCTATACAGGGTTTAGTAGATAGGTTTAATAAAATGTTATAGAAGTGTTATAAGAATTTAAGTAGCTACTATGCTAAATATATCACTTTAAATGTAAAACTAAGCTTTTACAAAAAAATGTAAAACTTACAAAAAATTACTAAATCCATATGGTCGGCTTTTGAAGTATTGATTTGAGTATCCTAACATAGCAGAGCAGCGAAATTTGTTGCTAGTCTTGTCCATACTTCTCAACCGGACCCATTAGTTCACCCCTGAGGGTACATCCTCGGGCGACACCTACTTTTCAGTAGGGGAAAATGCCCCGCGCCAGTTCAACTGGTCGCTTCTACCCGAAGGTAACCGTCCTTACGGGGCCTAAGGAACCCTAGCGTACTACCAAAGCAAGTCAATTGGGCAGGTTCACCTAATGTTAAAGGCCGAAACCGCTCTGCCCCATTGACTCATATTTTGATAGCCAATAGCCCGGGACATTCTTACTATATTAAACTATCCTATAGTACGTATACATTCAAAAAATGTCTCAAAAAATTTTAACATACATGGATCCTATGGATCCATAACTCAAATTCATATGAAGGAAATTTTTTGGTTTTTTTATTTTTTTATTTTTTTTTGGTTTTATAATGTTTTACATTAAAAATATATACATGCACGAAAATAATTACATATACGATGCCTATTATTCTAATTCCATGGAGTCCAAAATTTTAGATGGACTTTCAGTTTGTTGTTCTAAACTTAATTGATCAATTTCTTTAAAACAGGAGGAACTTTTTTCTTTTTCACCTAATTCAGTAATATCAATGTTTAATTCTGTTTCACTATAGTTAGACTCGCTATCTGAATTTTCGATTTAAAAAAATTGGGGAATTCCAGGTAAGACGATTTTTGAATGAACAAAAGTATTATCGCGAATTGAGTCATTTAATTTTGAGTACCTAATTTTTGTCCCAGCTACCCAAGCTTCTGCGCTAAATTTTCGAAAATATTCACAAAGAGTTTTTGTTATTTCTGCATCATCAAAATCTGATTCGGGTATTAAAAGATTATAGTCACATTCAAGTTTAGAGTCATACCCATGGGGACTATTAGATATACCCATATGAACATGTAAGGAATTTAACTCCTTACATGGTATGTGTTCGTATATAGTATCCTCAGAAGCATATTTTGGCTGGGGATATTCTTGGTTATACTGATCAAGAATTGAGTCCCATTTTTCCTGCTCATCCCGAGATAAATGTATTACCTTATATTTTAGACTATTATCACTACAGCCTATTCTATTATAAAAATTTAAAACATTATCTTCCCCATATTTTTTAGCAAAATCTAATGCAGGGGGATAATCATAAAAACTAATTTTTGTAGTATCTTTTTCAATGGGGTACTTTTTAAAATGTTCCAGACAAAGTGCTTCGTACTCTTCTCGGACTTCTCGTTTTAATTTAAAAAGTGTTAAAACAAATTTTGGAGGAGAATTTGCTATCTCTTCAGAAATTTCATATTTTTTCAAAAATTGTATTCCGGGAGAAGATTCCCATAAATTAATAAGATTTGACTCAGAAATGTTAGGGGTAGTTGAAATTGCTCTTACTTTTCCAAATTTAATTGGACATGGCGTTTTACGCCTTTCTTCCCTCACTATTTCATATGCTCTTAAAATATGTTGACCCCCATAGTCTGTCCAAAATTCGGGGTCATACAAATTAATTTCTTCTATTACATCGGGGCTAGCACATAGATGACAAATTTTAGGGTTAAAAATTGTAACTATATTCCCCATTTCTTCCGAACAATATCTACATTCAAAATAATCTTTTATGTCTTTTTCTAAAATGCCCTTAATACAATAGCGCTGAGATGTGTCTGTCAGTCTGTAACCCATATTTTAAACCGTGCCTGGAATAAAGTGATTGTGCCATTTAGTAGGGCTGGGGCTCAAAAGGTTATGGAATTTTTCGCAGCCCATTCCCCTGAGTATATCGTAATTTATGAATCATGTTATGTCACCAGGGCGCAGCTGGGGCGGAGGCTGGGGCGCGAGTCGCGCACCTGATTTTCGGGTAGGTGGGGGTTACATGACATAGGGCCATGTAAGGTGACAGGGGGTCATGTGACAGGGGGTCATGTGTCAGGGGGTCACGTGACAGGGGGTCATGTGACAGGGGGTCATGTGACAGGGGGTCATGTGACAGGGGGTGTCACGTGATGTCACCTGACATCACGTGATGTCACCTTACATGACATGACCCCATGTCACCTTACATGACATGACCCCATGTCACCTTACATGACAGTACCCCATGTTACCTTACATACCCCGCCCCATAGGGGCGGGGTATGTTTTTGGGCGGCGGCCGAAGGCCGCCGCCCAAAAACCCGGAACCCACTGAACCCTGTATAGGAAAATGCATACTGATATGGGGCTAAATCATATTATAGATTGCTCGCGGCGAGCGAGGATACGTCGAGCGAGCCGTAACCCGCCCGAAGGGCGGGTTTGCCCCACTGACCCTGATACAGACTTATGCATACTGACATGGGGCTAAACCATATTATAGGTTGCTCGCGGCGAGCGAGGCTCCATCGAGCGAGCTCCCAAAGGGCCCGAAGGGCCCTTTCGCCCCACTGACCCTGATACAGACTTATGCATACTCACACATGAGTTTTCTGATTATGTGGCGCTTGGTACTTCCGGGTTATCGGGGAGCAAAAAGTGGAAATTTCAAAATAGCCTAGTCAGTGCCTTCAAAATGATTGTAAAAGTGATGAGTCATTGCTTTATAGTGGCTGTAATTTGTAAGATAGAGGAATAAAAGCAATGACTCATCACTTTTACAATCATTTTGAAGGCACTGACTAGGCTATTTTGAAATTTTGACTTTTTGCTCCCCGATAACCCGGAAGTACCTGGCGCTTCCTCACCGCCACTAGTATTAGTATTATTTGAAACATTTTTCATATAAAACAAAAAATTTCTAGGGCAAATATATTTAAATCTTTTTGGAATCACTTTTTCCATAGCCTTTTTCCAAAAATCATTGTCTATTGAATTAATTTTACTGATTTTTTCGAAAATATTATCATCATCAATAAACCACTCTGGTACAGAAAAAGTAGGTATTATTGCTTCTACATAGCTATTTAATTCTGAATTAACAAAATCTGGGAAAACGATTAAATTAAAAGTTCTTTTATTTTAGCTCTAATAAAATCCCATTTTTTCTCTATGTCATCCAGGTCGGATCCGCCACGCAAACGGAAAATATCGGGTTGTAAATAAAGTCTTAATTCATAAATAGGTAATCCCAAAAAAATTTCCTTTGTTTCAGTTATCCGCTTTTCAATTTTTCACCTAATTCTTTACGAATTTCTGAAGATTTTCCTGTATAGCCATATGCTTTAAGGTCAGTAAAAAATTTTGCTACGTGATAATCAGTTAATTCATCTGGGAAATTTTTTAAATAGTCTTCGTTTTCAGGCTCGCAAAAAATCATAAGGCATTCTTTTAAAATTCGTTCCTCAAGTTCACCCAAATATAAAAAAACCGGGACCCGATTGATTATCACATCCGAATTCTCGAATTAAAAAACGTTTTTCATAAAAATTCCCTTTATCGTCAAAAAAACTTTTTGCCCTTCTATCTAAAAACCTCTTATATTGGTAAATAGGTCGCCTCCTAATGAGATGAACCGTTTCTCTAACCCGAATTCTTTCTAAATCTTTTTCCTGCTCCGATATACTTTCAAAACGTTCTCTATGTGCTACCCTATCACGTCCCCGAATTTCATCTTTTTTACTTTCAGGTAAACGTCCCCTATATTTAGACACTCTAGAACGCGTTGCCGTTCTTTTCTTTTCCTTTTCCGCAAATTTTTTACTTTTTTCGGAAAGATCCCATTTTCGTTTTTCCTCTGGGGTTAACTGAATATGTTGCCGTTTTTTTTCACAAATGTCCAAAATATCTTTCTCATCTAACTGAATAAGTTTTCTTTTCCCTTTTTTAGCAACTTCTAAAACAGGAGTTTTACAAATCCCGGAACTTTCTCCCATTTCTGGCCCCAACGGAAAAGGCTTGCCCCCTAAAACTTTTTCACTATCACTATCTGAAGAACTCATTGATGTAATAAAAAATTACAACAATAAATTCTACTCAAACCTTGACACCGAAGAAATAGTAATCAACAGCCAAAGTTTTAGAAAATAATGAAATTCGGAATCGGAAAATAACAGCAGCAATTTTTACCTCGCAGAGCTTGGTAAAGAATGGCCAATATCCATTCTTTAAATACCAAAAATTATGCTCAAGCCCAGCCTACAAAACGCCAAAC